CAGCTCTGGAGCCTCCAACATAAGAAGGACATGGACCTGTTGGAGCAGGTCCAGAGGAGGGCCACGAAGATGATCAGAGGGCTGGAGCACCTCTCCTATGAAGACAGGCTGAGAGAGTTGGGGTTGTTCAGCCTGGAGAAGAGAAGGCTCTGGGAAGACCTTATTGTGGCCTTCCAGTATCTGAAGGTCGCCTACAAGAAGGCTGGAGAGGGACTTTTTCCAAGGGCATGTAGTGATAGGATGAGGGGTAATGGCTTCAAACTGGAAGAGGGGAGATAGATATTAGGAAAAAAAAATTTACTATGAGGGTGGTGAGGCACTGGAACAAATTGCCCAGGGAAGTTGTGGAAGTGTTCAAGGAAGTCCCTGGAAGTGTTCAAGGCCAGGTTGGATGGGGCTTTGAGCAACCTGGTCTAATGGAAGGTGTCCCTGCCCATGGCAGGGGGGTTGGAACTAGATGATCTTCAAGGTCCCTTCCAACCTAAACCATTCTATGATTCTATGATTTTTGAGTCAGGCAGTGTGGGTGCAGCTCACAGCAAGCAAACTATGCCAGTTAACTGATGCCCACAGGTAGCTGCTAATTTTCTTTCAGCTAACCAAGGGTGGCCAAAAGATCATACACTACCATTCAGCAATTTCCAAACTTGTCCTTGTAATACATCAAAGCCTAAACTATTTTCCTTCCCTGAAACTACTGCTAATTGGTGCCTTGATATCCTTGTCTCCCCTGGCAATAACAAGTTTACTTTAGCTATGGGGCATATTTCACTTTTGCTGGTAAATCCAGCTATTTTAACCCTTTGTCAGCTGAGCTTAATGTTAATTCTTTGGGCATCCAAATTTGAAATTATTGAAATTTGAGCTCCTGTGTCAATTAAAAATTTTACCAGTTGTCTTTGGTGGCCGATTGTAACATAAATGTGAGTGTTGTCTGTGTTATCCCATTGATAAGCTTCCATCGGGGAGTTTATGAGACTGGGGAAAGTGTCAGGGGTTCTGGGGAGTATGTCTTGCTGGATCCGTCTGCTGTCTGCATCAGCTCAGGATCGCCCTGCTTGTGTTGGTTTGTCCCACCCATTTTCTTGACTATGATTTACAATGCTATACATCAAGTCTGCCCAGGTCGGGATGGGTTGGAGGCAGGATTGGCTGTCCCGAACTTCCTGGTCGTTATGTTCTATGTTTTGTCTTATGTCATCCCTTTTTGCAATGAGGTATGATTTTAAAACAGCAGGGGCTCCCCTTATCATTGGTCTCATGGCTTGGGGCTCGACAGGGGCAGAGATAGGGTAATCACCATGTGCACCCCCATCATTCATAGCCTGAAGGCAGGCTGATTTTGTAATGTCAGTAGAAAGTTCACTTAATGATCTTATTGGTATAGCAGTGAGCTCCCCTCTATCCTGAGGGTTCCTGCCCAATACGCTACTCGGTGTGTAATAGAGTGTGTTTCAGTGTTAGGGGCTGGTCCCTCATTCAAGAACACTCCTGGTCCCCAAAAGCCATCTGCTTCACCTTGATCTAACATAATACGATCTCCTCCAGTTAAGGAGACACACCACAAATATTCAGTCTCTTTTTTGCCAGGCTTCCACCCATATTTTTCATGAAGATACGCCAGTTGAAGGGGGCCCCATGGAATGGTCTTTACGGTATTTCTCTGGTTGCCCCCTTGAGGTCTGGCAGATACGTCAGTTTTAATAATAGGGGCTACCTTAAATTCTGATTCATCTAATTCAATCTCGTCACTAAGTTCTTGGTTGTGGTCCTCCCAAATATCTCTGTCCCAATCTTCCAGGGAAACGATTAGCTTATGAATTCTTAGAGAATCTGTGGGGTTGGGGACCCAAATTATCATGAGTTCTAGTTTATCCTCTAGCTTCCTGTGTTTTTCTTTTTCCTCCTCCATTTTTTTCTGCAATTGTTCTATTTGCAGAGATAACAGCATTTCTTGTCACTTTCTTTGTTCAACCTCATCTTGTAACATTCTCATTTCCTTTTCTTTACATTTCTTATACCGACATGTTGCTTTTAAATACTTTTTCACCACCCTGCCTTTCTTATTGCTTGCCCTGATAACAACCACCTTAGTGCTTATGTAAGTAATGTTATTTGCATAACTCAAACTTATGAAACAAAAGATAAGGCTACTACATTTCCAGGTTGCACATGTCCCCAATTTAAGTTTCTTGCAAAGTCCCACCTAATTCAGCTCTAAAATGTTCTTTGAAAGTGTGGGAGCTAGACATTGCCTTCACATTTTAGAGATTAAAAAGCAAGCAGATTCAACTGACATGGAGCAGTTGTTACTGAATTACAGGAGATGGGCACTTGGTTTATCCACAATCAACATTAAAAAAGGTTTTAGCATCATTGCTGACCCATAGGTCCAATACAGTGGAAGCTCAGCTGCCCAAGGAGTTACAAGCTAAAACAAAATAACAGGATAAACACCCTCCGTAATGTGTGTGCAAGGTGTCCAAAGTTTATGTACTTTGTAATATATAAGTGGAAACTCTGCCCCATTCAGGACACATTGCCTCTGATTGGTCTCAATTATTTACCAGCTAGGACCAGCATTGGGGATATTCATGCTTTTTTCAGACACACCAGGAAAAGAATCAGTCTTCAAAAACTGTTCATGAAATCTCTCTACTGGCTGTTTGCATCTACTGTAATACTACACCAGACAGTACATTTAAAAAACATATTTCAATTGTTTGTCAACCATGTTCTTTCAAACTGTGATAATCTAGTTAGTTTGATAGACAAACCCACATGCTCTAGACTATTTTGAAAGCTGTGTTTCACATGCCCAGTGTTAAGTCATTTTTCTTGTGCCATATTACCAAGATCTTATCAAACTGCTCACTGAAGAGGTGCATTTCTGCCACTTCCACACATCCTGTTTCATATTTCTGCAATTTATTTACTTTAACAAACAGTCAGAGGTAACCAATTCTGTAATTTTTTGACCAATTTGTTATTGTCATATTGACAGAGGCAAGAAGTAAAAATGCTATCATAAAGTAAAGATTCAAACCAAATTAAAGGACAAATTAAAAGAGTACATACATTATTCCACACCAATCCTCTATCAGTCATAGCTAATAAGACTTATGATGCTAAACCAGTTACTATTAGAGTACTGCATTGCTTTATATAGGAACACATGAAAGCTGTTCTGAATTAGACTTTCCTCTTTCCCCATGGTGAGCTTCTCTCATTAAAGAAAAATGGTTTTGAGTCTTGCAGATAAAACAACACATGAAAATCCTCAGGCCTGCAGAGCACAAAATTGCTGAAATACAGTCAGTATGTGATGGTCCAGTTCAGCTGTAAACAGGAGGTTCTCCAGGGTCACCATGTACTGCTGAATTATCTGGTGATGCTGCAGATAAAAAGATAAACCTTTGTTGTTTTCATTCATCTTCACATACAACAGGCAGAAGAGTTGACATATTGTATCACAGATCAGATTTTTTCACCACAACTAACAAGCACATATAATTTCCACAACACATTAATCACTGTTGACTGCAAGAATGGAGCGTACATTGAAATCCTGTTTTGAGAAGTACTGGGTTCCCTGTAAGCTACTCAGTTCTAATCCTGATTCTGACTAGTGTGTAGAGGCAACTGCACAGATATGCTAGGACTCAAGACATTTGCTTTAGCATTAAGTCATTTTTATGATTAGGGTAGAGACTAATCCATAGGGGGAATTATGCCATTAATCCTACGCAGCTTCCCATCCTCTAACACAATTTATGTTCATGTAAACACAAATAATTTTCTATTACTATGGCTGTTGTTTTCAGGCAGCTACTTAACTGGCTTTTTACATCTGTTGCCAGATTTAATATAGAGCCAATAGTTCCAAACTATATTTTTAAATAGCTATTCATTATAATCAGATGCATAAATTTAAAACATTTTCACCCACTTGTTAGGCACTTATTTTGGTATACTTGTTCTCTCAAGAATCTACCCTTACTATAACATGTGGTTAAAAAAAATCAGCTACATTTACAACCACATCTCAATATTGTTTTGCACTATATTCACAGTGCAAGAAAGAATTCAAGGAGCTCACCCTCCAGTCATTTAGCAAGTCTGTAGCAAATATGGGGTCAAAACCAGAGACAGACACAGCCAAAACTCACACTAATCCCCGAAAAAGACTGTGATGACTGGTGACTATGTCTGTTCTAATGGAACTGGTAAAAATAAGTGACCAAGCTCAGCTCTCAAATCACGTAAGCTTTTCTTTCCAGCAGCTGCCCAAAGCCTTCCAAACCAAGAAGTGAAACTTACCTGTAGGAAGATTTGCTGCAACCTCTCTATACAGCTTTTGTACCAAGGTGTAAATACATCAATCCCACCAGTTTCACAGCGCACTAAGTGTTCAGTTAACAACATAATGAAACGCTGCAGAAGAACACAAATAGAATGTTGGTTCAGCAAATCTTTTCAGATGAAAATAGGTTACTAGCCTCAGATGAGAGAATCCATGGGACATTTGACAGACAGAAGCTTTGAATGGCAATGTCAGAATGAATATTTCACTTAGGAGACACTAAGTAGAGTAACTACTTATATTTAAAATACCTTTTGTTTGTTTAGGAAATTGCATGCTATCAAAAGAACTCATTTTCTCAGGCTCTTGATGCTGAAACAATTCTTGTTTAGGGGAGTTAGGCAGTTCTTTGATTCTTATCCAGAATAAGCCCATCTAACCCTTCCTACGTACTCATCTCAAGAAAATGATTAAGATACAAATGATGCTGCAAAGACATCACCCATCATTACCTGGAATATAACAAGGAAGAGATTTTTCTGTTCACTCTGGGCTGATTCTACTCTCTCCTGCAAGCGTTCTATTTGCTCTTCTAGAGGTCCATCTTCCCTATCACTACTTCGGTCATTGTCGTCATCATCTTCATCACTTTCTCGCTGTAAGTAAAAACAAAACACAACTAACCAGAGATGTGACTACCTGTGGGTTCTGCTAGTATCATTGGAATGATAAATAGGCCTCCTGATTGACCAAAGTCTGCAGCACAACTGAAGCCGCTCTGTAGCCTTTCAAGTGCTGTACGTTGAGGGCAGCTTACTTTATAAATACAATTCAAGAAGGAAATTTGGAAGGAAGGAGAATGAGAAGGGTTGTCAAGCATTGGAACAGGCTTCCCAGGGAAGTGGTTGAGTCACCATCCCTAGAGATATTTAAAAGAGGTGTAGATGTGGTGCTGAGTGAGATGGTTTAGTGGTAACTTGGCAGTGTTAGGTTAACAGTTGGACTTGACGATCTTAAAGGTTTCTTCCAACCAAAACAATTCTATGATTCCCCATCCCTCCTGCAAAGCTGAGGGGGAGGAGGTAGAGGAGTCAGGAATGAAGGAGTGAAATTGAGCCTTGGATAAATGTTGGGGAGAAAGTGTTGTTTTAAATGTTGTGGGCATTTGTCTGCTGGTGGGAGGTAGTGGGTGACTGCCTTTGTATCACTTGTTTTTGTCCTCTTTCCTTCACTTATTAAACTGTCTTTATCTCAACCCATTTTTTCTTGCTTTTGCTCTTATTCTCTCCCCCATCTCATTGCAGGGGAAAGTGAGTGAACAGTTGTGTGGTGCTTGGCTGCTAGCTGGGGTCAACCCACCACACAGGTTTAAAGACTTGTGAGAAAAATGCATTGGCGATATCAAGTGTGGCATACCACTTGGCTGTCTTTGACTCCAGTTCATATTGGAGTTCTAACATGTCTGGTATGGCAGCACTCAGCAGTGGTGTGACTTTGTTCAGGCCACTGTCAGCCTCCACCCTCTGTCAGACTTTCACAGGGGCCATTTGGGAGTATTAAAGGGTGAGTGAGTGTTGCTGATCAGTCCTTGGCTCTCAAGTCAATGAAACAGGTCCTGGATGGGAAACAGGGAGTCTTGGTTGGTGCGATATTGCCATTGGTGCACTGTCATGGTAGCAATTGGCACCTGCTCTTCTTCGACCCTCAGCAACCCCACAACAAAAGGATCCTCTGAGAGGCCAGGCTAGGTAGACAGCTGTTTAATCTTCTCTATATCCACTGTGGATACACCAAAGGCCCACTGCTACCCTCTTGGGACCTTGAAGTACCCTCTCCTGAGTTAATCTATGCCAAGAATGCATGGAGCCTCTGGGATGGTCACTATTGGATGCTTCTGCCACTCATTCTCTGTCAGGCTCATCTCAGCATCCAGCACAGACAACTGTTGGGATCCCCCCATCACTCCAGAAATCCAGATGGTTTCCGCCACCTTATACCTTGTAGCCTGATGGCATTAAGGTATGCTGTGCACCAGTGTCTACCAAAGCCTTATACTTCTGTGGGTCTGATATACCAGGCCATCAGAACCACATAGTCCAGTAACCCTGATTGTCCCTTTCCTCTGCCTGGCCAAAGGCAGGGCCCCTCTATTCCTTTTCACAGCATTCATTACCTGACTCCTGTAATTGCAAACCAGAAGTCCCTTCATCAGAATGAGAAATAATATCAGCCACTCTGTTATGTCTTAACAGCAACCAAAGCAATAATCTTCCTGGATGGACACTTTTTGGCCATTGTTTTTCCTTGCAGTACACATACACGGACTTCTAGGTTCAAGGTAGGTGCACTGTCCCATTTCCTCATGTCCTTCCTGTGGTTGCTGTGGTGCTGCAACCCCCCTACCCCTCCTTTAGGCCACTCAGTACTTGGCGTGATTTCCTCCCCACCTGGGCCACATAATAATACAATGGACCAGAACGTAACATAACGGTCTAACATGAAAGAAAGAAAAGGTGGAGAGCAACAAACCAGAACACAATAGTGTGCCTGGTCCCCATGGACCAAACCTTCAAACCCCTACCGTTTGAAGATAACTATAATCGATCACTCCTGACAACATATGGATCATGGACACAGAGGGGGGGGATACCAGGACCCCAAGAACTAGCAAGTTCTGGGCTTGCACAACCAGTGGAAAGTACCGGAATATTCCATTGTCCAAGCTGGGCCAGAGTGGAAAAGTACATGATGAAAGTCAATTATCTCGGATCCTATAAGTAGCGATTCTAATAAAGACCCTTTGAGCTCTTCTGGATTGCAGTGGGCTGTGACCAGTGTCCCCCCCTGAGTTGGGACTCAGCTCAGGCTGACACCTTGACGACTAGAAGGCCAGGGTGAGAGAATCCCTCTCGAGCCTCAACTACCACCCGTTAAGAAATGCCGATGTATTGTGAGTATTTACCCTAAACTTGTGAAAGGGAGATTTTGACTATAGGGTAGCCTCTCTTCCATCCACCTCTCCACCTATATGTTTGTGATATACATATTAAATTTATGGATGTGGATGTTCTTCCATTTGTCCATGCATGCATATGAGTTAAAAGTGGTACCTGTCAGTTTGTTAGAGTCCCCCGCTATTAAGAAATTCCTGATTCCAGCAATCAGAGACCTCTCTGTGTGTGCACTTATATGCTTTGTTTATGTGTATATGTATTAATTTGAGATCTGTGCTTTTGCCCATATGTATATGTATTGATTTGGGATACCTTATAGTAAGTTAGCGTGAATCTTGCCATCTTCGAATCTGTAATTAAGTCACTGTTCAATTATTTTGTTAAATCACTTTGCAAACCTCTAAACTGGTTAATGATTAAGTGTTGCTAAAATTCAACCTCTTGATCTACCTTAAATCCCTAATAAATTTTGAATTGCTGTTAAATCATAACCGTGTCAAATATTTCCATCTGCGACAGTTGCACAGATAGAACCACAGGGTAGCACACAGTGTGCCTGCAGTTCCCTTCCCCTTGAGCAGAGAAAGACTGACTCCATCTCCTTGATAGCTGAGATGTCGAGCTGTAGGGGTCAGGGCAGAAGAAAGTTTCTCTTTGAATCACCAGAGCTGGCGGGTCAGTATATCCACAGTTGGTGCCTCCACGTCTGTCTGGTCCATTATTGCCAGGGTGCTGGAGTACAATATCAATGTGCTCCATACTAACCTCCACCACATGGATCACGTGCACTGGACTTCATCCAGATCTTTGGAGGCATGGTTGTTGTCCAGGTTGCTGTAGATCACTTCCATCATCACTAATTCCATCAGATTCTGGATACCTCCCTCAGTGGTGGTTCATTTGCCTAGGTAGTTTACAAGATCTTCCTTGAGGGGATAACTCGCCTTCATGCTCAACAGGAGTCACTTCCAAAGGCTGCAGATTGTTACCCCTTTTCCAATCCCTTTGTTGACAGGGACAGGGGACTGTCCCTAGAGAGGTATCTCCAGCTGTCAGGCTTCCTTACCCTCCAGTTCCTGAATGTGGGCCCCACTATCCCAGCATCAGAGCAACCAGGTGATGATTCACTTGCCTGGCTGATGGCTGCAATCTTTCCACATATCTTGCAGCTCACTTAGAGACAAGGACTGGGTGGTTTCTATCTCTTGCCCTCCTGTTCTTGTGGCTGCTCTGCTACAGAAAACGCTGCCTCTTCTGAGTCTTCTTCCTGCTCCCTCTTATGAGGAGCTTCTTCCTGCCTTTCTAACTGAGCTGACTTCCGCTTCCATTGTTTCTTCTTGACTACAGGAGTGACTATTATAGTCGAGGGTTGGGTCTCTGGCTTAGCCACAGTGTCTGTTTGATCCAGAGACCCTCTAGTCCCTTTGAGGGTGCTGGACAGAGGCTTGGTAAACGTATGCCAGGCCCCAGCACAGTGCTAGAATTTGTGTCTCTTTGGTATAGACAAGGCATCCTTTCTTTAAGTATTCTGCCACTTCAACAGGATTCTGCACCTGTTCTGGCATAAACTCCCAGAGGGCTATCAGAGGTTACAACTGCTCTAGGCACCTGCCCAAATTCTCTCTTACACCTTGACACTCAAGAATCGAATGCTGCAGGGCACATTCCTTTATTTCATACTCAACTGGTTGACCACTGGAGGTTCTACCAAGTTCTCCACTCGGTTTGCTGGATTCAGAGTAAGATGTGGCAGCAGCAGGTATGGGATGGTGGTGGCAGCAGCATGGGTCTGTAGGGTCACTATTGTTACTCATATGAACAATCAATGCAAAAATCAAAATCAAGATCACAGCACACACTGATATAAACATTCCAATTATGTAGGGATATTCAAGAAACTGAGTGGCCATTGCAACAAGGCTGGAAAGGTCTATCCCAGTGTATGTCCCAGAGAAGAGGAGGAAGTTGTAATTGCTGATTGTGTCCACGAGATGGTTGTTCTCATAGTATGGAGGTGACAGCAGTGCATGGGCTAAATGTCAGATTAGGGTCAAGGCCAGTGCTTTTATCATAGCTCTCCCAGGCAAAACAAAACAAAATGATAACACAGCAACAGCAAAAGCCAAAAGCAGCCATTAACATGCCTTGGAATTTGATGTACCATAAAAAAGAGAGCAAGCAATGGAGAAGGTGTGAGATGAAATAAATCAGCATCAAGAGCAAATAAGTCAACATTGTGATCAGCAAGTAACCGCCTGCCAATCATAGAATCATAGAAGCGTTATGGCTGGAAAAGACCTTTAAGATCATCAAGTCCAACCGTTATCTAACTCTACTAGGCCCACTTCTAAACCATGTCCCTGAGCGCCATACCTAGAGGGCTTTTAAATACATCCAAGGATGGTGATTCAACCACTTCCCTGGGCAGCCTGTTCCAATCTTTGAGAACCCTTTCAGTGTAGATTTTCCTAATGTCTAACCTAAACCTCCCCTGGCGCAACTTGACGCCATTTCCTCTTATCCTATCGGTTGTAACTTGTGAGAAGAGACCAACGCCCACTTCTCTACAACCTCTTTTCAGGTACTTGTAGAGAGCGATAAGGTCTCACCTCAGCCTCCTTTTCTTCAGACAAAACAACCCCAAGTCCCTCAGCTGCTCCTTGTAAGACTTGTTCTCCAGACCCCTCACCAGCTTCGTTGCC